TTGAGCTTAGACTTTGAAATCAACCAAATGAGTAAGTGCTACTTTAAGTAAAATAGTTTCGAGACAAGCTGGATGTTGTTTTTGGTTCACCTCTGCCTGCATAATGGCAGAACCCTGAATCCTGACAATAGGGGCAGGGACCCAGAACTTTTTTTAAGGTACAGAGACTGCAGACTGCCAGGCAAGTAATTTTCATTTTTATGTGCTTACATTAATCCTGTTTACATAACAGGAAAAGCCCAAAATACATTAAATAATAATAATAATAATAATAATAATAATAATAATAATAATAGCAAAGACTCTGGTACAAACCAGTAAAGGTGGTCCCAGTGGTGATCGGCACATTGGGTGCAGTGCCTAAAGACCTTGGTCTGCACTTAAACACAATCGACACTGACAAAATTACCATCTGCCAGCTTCTGAAGGCCACCCTACTGGGATCTGCACGCATTATTCGCCAATACATCACACAATTCTAGACACTTGGGAAGTGTCCGATGTGTGATCCAATATAACAACCAGCAGAGTGATCTTGTCTGCTGTGGACTCATCTTGTTGTGTTTCAAATAATAATAATAATAATAATAATAATAATAATAATAATAATGCACAAGGTGATTAACAATATAACTACCCCAAATAAAATGAAAAAATGAAAAACTATAATATTGTTTAAATTTGTATATCTAGGAAAAGGGAAAATCTATAAGATCCTATTAAGTGAATGGAACTAGGATATTTCTGACTGAGGCTCAACAACACTGTTATATTGATGATCCTGATTCTTGGTACTTCATCATTTCAGAAATGCTTATCCCTCTAATTCAGGCTCTTGGGAGCCCCATGTCTTTTTTGTCCACCTCTCAATCTATTCCTGGGATCCTTACATGGAGAAGACAGAATCCAATTGCTCTTCACAGCATAATGTCATAGGGTTGAATGGGAACCACTCAATGCTATTTTCCAGGACTGAAAAAAGGAAGAGCACAATTGAAACAGCATCTCCTACTCCCATCTGATGAAGTCAATCTGGTGAGATTCCATGGTAAATGACTTCAAGAACCGAAGAAAGATCTAAAACATCAACAGGGTAAAACCCATTGCTTGTCTTTCACCAGGAGTAAGTAATGCATATTGTGATGTGGCGGCAAAAAAAGCCAATGGGATTTTGGCCTGCATCAATAGGAGCATAGTGTCTTCATCTAGGGAAGTAATGCTACCCCTCTATTCTGCTTTGGTTAGACCACACCTGGAATATTGTGTCCAATTCTGGGCACCACAATTCAAGAGAGATATTGACAAGCTGGAATGTGTCCAGAGGAGAGCTATTAAAATGATAAAGGGTCTGGAGAACAAGCCCTATGAGGAGCGGCTTAAGGAGCTGGGTATGTTTAGCCTGAAGAAGAGAAGGCTGAGAGGAGATATGATAGCCATGTATAAATATGTGAGAGGAAGCCACAGGGAGGAGGGAGCAAGCTTGTTTTCTGCTTCCCTGGAGACTAGGACGCGGAACAATGGCTTCAAACTACAAGAGAGGAGATTCCATCTGAACATGAGGAAGAACTTCCTGACTGTGAGAGCTGTTCAGCAGTGGAACTCTCTGCCCCGGAGTGTGGTGGAGGCTCCTTCTTTGGAAGCTTTCAAACAGAGGCTGGATGGCCATCTGTCAGGGGTGATTTGAATGCAATATTCCTGCTTCTTGGCAGGGGGTTGGACTGGATGGCCCATGAGGTCTCTTCCAACTCTTTGATTCTATGATTCTATAATACTATTTCAGTGATCAGGAAATATAGTCAGCCTTCCACACTCGCTAGGATTAGGGGCACATGACCCCCCATGGAAGTGAAAAAAACATGAATAAAACCATGGCTACTTTTTAACCTGAGAAAATATCTCTGGGGTAAGCCCTCCAGTATGACTCTATGGTCAACTTCCACTGAACACAGAATTGTACCGGAGGATGTAAACATTCCTAGAAAGCACATTTTGATCAAATAATGAAGAATCAAATCCACACAAATCCAACCCGCAAATGTGTAGGGCTGAGTATAGACTGAAATGGGTTCAGATAATTAGTTTCCTTCAATAACACATGAAGTTGATCAGTCACCACAAGCAGGCATTTCTCCTTCCTTGGACCCACCTTATCAATCCAGCTCTGCTAGACTTTATCAATCAAGGAGGGCAAGGGTCAAGCTTTCATGTGGTGGGCTGAAATGATTCAAGCATCTTGTCCATATTATCAGGTCTCAGCAACTGGAATTGATCCTCGGAAAACTGACCAGTTGAAGCACTTGACACTTCCTGAGACTCTATATAAAAGTGTGGTATCAAGTTCTGAATGAATACAAGTTTGTAGAGCCTAGTGAGTTTGTCAAAGCTGGTAACTGAAGGTTCTACTTCTTGCCTCTCTGAGTCTGACTGTAATAAGCTTCTGCCCACTTCATAGATGAAGGCAGTAGGAAAAGACGACTACCACATTACAGGAAAATTGATTCCCTCAAGGAAGCCACAGCCCAAAGTTTTCAAGGCTTGGGCTGCTAACAAGGTCTTTTGAAAGTGCTTCATTCATAGGGTCACCATAACTCAAAGACGACTTGATGGCAAGTCATCACAATGAGCAGAAGTAGTAGCAGTGACACATTCCTAAATCTCTCCCAATGAAGTAAGCATTACTGGGGGAAGGGGAGTAATACTGATCATATCCTGTTTTTTCATATTCCTATGAATTCTCTGTATCAGTTATTCTTGATGCTGTCTTTGGACTTATGGAAAC